ACTATATATCGGGTAATCGAGTATATATCAAGCGTTTGAAGGAGGCTGTGTTTCAGGAATGAACACTGAAGGTTGTATATCCCTCTAAGGAACTATTTAGCTGCGAAAATCTTTCCTGACTTATAATTCTGTTCCAAACAAAAGTGAACAAATGTTAATTGTATGTCAAACCTAACCATATTCATCAATTCACATTAATTTTTTAAGGTGAGTGTTCAAAAATGGCAGATCGATGAACTTCCGCATACCTTTGTGAAGGATTTCCGTGGAGTATGAGTTCACTTAGGTGCCACTTAACTCATGCACATAGCAAATATATGAAAAACTTTAATCTGTGTGTTCAGAAAGGTAGTGATCAGTTTGAGATTTTCGTGTTAAGTACATTTCCCAAATAATTATTTGACCAGTGAATGTTCGCTACAATTTAGACCTCTTTGTCTATGAACTGATGAATAAGAACATATGTCTCTTGTTATTGCGAAGCAGTGTTTAACAAAGTTCCCATTCTTCAGTAATGCAGCAAAAGAATAAAAATACAAAATGACTCATTACTAGACAGTAATTAATGTCATATTACCAAGACATTATTTGTGAACAAATTGTTTCTGATCAGGTTTCCCTCACCAATCCAGAAAAATCCCCACTAGTGTGCACTGTGAACTGCGTTTGAATCACTGGACGCATTCAGTAGGAAGCCATAAACCCAGTATGTGTCTGGAACATTGGTGGAACTGATGTCATCTCAGGAATTTAAACTTGCTTCACCTAGAGCTACAGGGTCATTATTATTATTATTTCCTTTAATTCCTACAAGAACATAGGGCTTCAGCCATGCGTCTCCATTGCGTTCGGTTCTCTGCTAGAGTCTTCACCTGGCTCTATGTCTAACCATGCGTTTTCATCTCCTCTTAACATGACCTCCTACAAGTCACCCACCCTTGCACTGACGACCAACTCGCCGCTTCCCTTTCGGGTTCCACTCGAGCAATGGCTTGTCTAGTGATGTCACTTGATGGTTGGTTTCCTCAGAGTATGGCCAGACAATCCATCTCCATTTCTTCCTGCTTATTTGTTTCACAATCGGTTCCTGCTGTGTTGGTTCGCTCATTGCCAGAGATCTCTGTTGCTGATGTTTTCTAGCCGGCCATCTGATCTTGAGTATTGAGCGAAGACAACTGTTATTGAAGGTCTGTAGTTTGTTTGAGATGGTCTTTATGACGCTCAGTGCAAGTCTCTGATCCGTATGGTGAGTAGCACTGACTTCACATTAGAGTTGAAAATCCGGATCTTATTTTTCATGCTGAGTGCTGTTGACCTCCACACAGACTTGAGAGTAGTGAAAGCTTGTCTTGCTTTTCAGATTCTTGCTTTGATATCCTCGTCAGTTCCGCCTGTAGTTGAAACGATGCTTCCCAGGTAGGTGAAGGAGGTTGTTTCTTTCAGGTTCCTTCCATTTATGCTGATTGTTGTCTGTTGTTGTTGTTCTTGTCCAGGAATCTTCACCACCTCTGTTTTCTCTATGTTCCCCTGAAGTCCTCTCTTCTCAGGATGCTTCTTCTGCCAAGTTTTGCTTTTCGCTTGCACATCTTCCAGTTTGTGGGAAATCAGACATATATCATCGGCGAAGTCCAGATCCTCCAAGTTTTTTGTATGAGTCGATTTTATGCCTGTTTCCTCATTGCCCGCTGTTTGTAGCATTATTCAGTCTACTGCAATCAGGAAAATTATTGGAGATAGTAGGCAGCCAGCTTGTCTTACTCCTGTCCTCACTCCGAAGGATTCCGTAAGTTTCTCGTTGTGGATTACTTGGCATGTAGCATTGTCATACAGCTGTTGGATGAGATGTATAATTGTCGGTGGCACCCCTTAGTAGCGTAGTATTTTCCAAATCACCTCTCGATTGACGCTGTCAAAGGCCTTTTCAAAGTCGACGAAGTTGAGATAGAGAGGTGACTGCCATTCCAAGCTTTGTTCATTGATGATCCGTAATGTGGCGATCTGATCAATGCATGACAGGGTCATTACAATCAGGTAACTGAACTGCAAATGACTTTGTGTAGGTGTGAGTTGGGTACACTGACTGGTTATATTTTGTAGCCCTGTATGCTGACTAAATTCTTTTGATAAGCTATCTTCTCTATGACAAATTATGATAAACACTTTATATGATTTCTGTTCAGCCCTAATTGGTTAGCAGTTCATCTATGAACAGACAAGGAATACATGTTATTATGCCAGAGCTGATACAGAACTAAGAATAAAAAACTTCCAGATTGAATATATATCCATATGATTTTATTAAGATTAGATCTATAAAAGGGATAGATAATTATTCTTAGGCTTAAAGTGATTTTCTTCTACTGATTCTTTGTTAGTACTTTCATGCTTTAGTGTCTACTGTCCCAGATATATAATCCACAGTTTGTCATATTCAGCTCTCACCATGTTTCTGATAGATTTGAATATTCATTATTTGATCTCTTAAGCCTTTTTACCCACTAATTACCCAAAAATTAAATATTATACGTTACTAACTATAACAACAAGGGACTTCGAAAACGAACCTATCAAGAACCCATTGACTAACAAACATGCCAAAGAAAATGGATATGGATAAGACACACGCTGAGGAAATCGTCCGGTGACATCACATGCTAGGCCATCGCTCAAATGGAACCCGAAAGGTAAACAGCCAGTTTGACGTGTGTCCGAGGGTGACACGGAGGAAATCGTACGAGGAGAAGATCACAGGCTATGTTCAGTCGTTGGGCTAGATGAAAAAGACCGCAGAAAACAGGAAAAAATGAAGATGTGCTGTCAAAATGCTATGTTCCACTCAGAACCCAAGGAAATAACGATTATACAATAATAATATTTCTCCTGCAAAAATAATTATTAATCTTTAATTCATAACTACGTTCTCCGGAATAAAATATTACCTATAAAGACAAAAGTAAAAAAATTACTCAATATTTCGACTTCTTCAAAATTCAGCGATTCTCCTGAGGGTAGAAAATGATTCTTTCAAAATTCGTAAGAAATAAACTCATGAAATATGAATACTAAATTAAGCAAGAACAACAGTGGTTTGTACAGAATAATATGGTACCACCATTTATTTCGTCGGCCTCTCATCAGCTGCTTACAGCCTAAATAAATTGTGAGGTTTGCGTACAGAAAAGTTTTAACATACTTGCAAATTTTTACATGTTGTCAGTTGACAGAAAGTTCCACAGTAAGTGAACAGTGCTCAGAAAATTGCGCTTATATAGTTTTTACACAGGCAGTTCAAGTTTAAACAAAATAGATGTATGCATACAATGGTAGAAGAGTTACGTAATAAAGACGAGAGGTGAGTAAGATGATGAGTAACTAATAAATGTGGTAACGATGTACTGAATTCAAATCACGTCATAGAAACAAGAGACAAGCAATATTACAGATTTTAGAAAAAGAGGGGTGAGATTACGTAATCAGAGTAGGGAATAAAGACATCCAGTTACCATGGCAAGGAAAAACTAAAAACTGCTTCTTTCTGAACACATAAATCTGTTTTGAAGCGTTTCATAGAAATTGCTTCGGCAAACTTGAGGAGAATGGAGCTCCTTTGTCTATTGATAATTTTGAAGGATTTCTCGATTTCCACCTCATGACCCGTGTCGAGGAGATGCCTGGCGATAGCACTGTTTAAAGAATTTGTTCCCATAAGACGTAAGCTTTTTGGTACATGTTAAGAAAATCGTAGGTATGCCCTTCTTTCTGTCCTTCCAATGTAACTGCTCCCGCAGATGCATGTAAATTTGTACATGCAGTTGAAGTTCACATGAGAAGGATATCTATCGATTTTTGATTGCACCAAAGAGCAAGTTGTTTGATAGACGGGAACGAGCTTGGCTGCAGGGTAGGCTATAGCTAGTGATGTACTCAGCCTTCTGTTGATCATTGTTGTAATGTTTTCACCTTTATAATCAAGCTGAAAGTCTTTCCTTGCCATGGTAACTGGATGTCTTTATTCCCTACTCTGATTACGTAATCTCACCCCTCTTTTTCTAAAATCTGTAATATTGCTTGACTCTTGTTTCTATGACGTGATTTGAACTCAGTACATCGTTACCACATTTATTAGTTACTCATCATCTTACTCACCTCTCGTCTTTATTACGTAACTCTTCTACCATTGTATGCATACATCTATTTTGTTTAAACTTGAACTGCCTGTGTAAAAACTATATAAGCGCAATTTTCTGAGCACTGTTCACTTACTGTGGAACTTTCTGTCAACTGACAACATGTAAAAATTTGCAAGTATGTTAAAACTTTTCTGTACGCAAACCTCACAATTTATTTAGGCTGTAAGCAGCTGATGAGAGGCCGACGAAATAAATGGTGGTACCATATTATTCTGTACAAACCACTGTTGTTCTTGCTTTATTTAAATTCATCAAGGGGAATAAATGCATGAAGAAAATATGAATACCTTATCAAACTGGTCTGTGCAAATTGAATCAGTCATCTCAAGTCTTCTGTATTCTTACGAACAAAACCTTCTACTGTTGTCACTATCTATCTATAGTCTTCAGAGCTATAAAATTCGTTTTATTCAGTGATATATGCAAAAGTAACCCGGGATATGCTACTGACACATGTTCGCTCTGAACTCCACTACGAATTACCAAAAAATATAAGTAACAGTTCAACAAAGACGTGTAATTTTTCTGTGATACATTTTTTTACCTCAGTAGAGTATTTGCCACTTTTCAACATTCTGGAATTTCCAGTCAGCTGTAGGATAACATCAAGTTATCCTTTCCGTTTATTAACCAAAACTTAGTTATAATATTCCAACTCTTAATGTAATTAGGTCAAATAATTAGGACTGACAATATATAACTCATAAATCGTATAATCACAGAAAGAAAGGATAGCGAAAATGATACAATTTTCACTTAAATAGAAGCTTAAAACTTCGAAATAATCAAATTTATTGAATTCAGGAGAGTTTTTTTTCTTTTCAAATTAATTTAATACAGTCACCATTTAATATTTATAGTTTATTTTGTGAATTAAAATAAAAATTTTCAAAAGGTAGATTCGAAAGAGGAGTACTAAGTAGTAAAACAGATAATTAAATGAACAGAAGATAAAATTCGTATGAATTTAACTTGACTATCATTATCATTTTTTTGGAATTTTAATTCACCAACAGCAAAGAGTTCATTATCAAAGGGAAATAAACAAACAAACAAACTTAGAAAGTAAAGTAAATTAGAAGTTCTCATCTTATTTATTCAATATTTCAATGGTTATATAGACATACATGTGGGCAGAATAAAACAAACTGTCAACCATGCAAACTTTACAGCCAAGAAATATGAGAAAAATAAAGAGTAGAGAAAGGAAAAAGAAATACATTTCAGGCTGATATAAGCGGCATTGTATTTTGACAATCGAAAAAGAAAACAAACAAACAACGAAAACATTACACAGTCTACAATTATCTGAAGCATTTCGCCTTCTTAAGTTGTAGATTTTTTTCGTCTAATAGCCTGGGCTCATTGATATGTGTTCTGCGTACAGGAGTATGTGGAAAAAGATTTAGCCAATATATCTGCTGTGTTATGTAACATGGAATGTTGAAAAGTACCCTTGGTTATTTATCACCAAATAGTAATAACTATAATAATAATGATACACGATTGTGCTCGGGTATATACTGAAAATCACCGAACAGGCTGTGATAATTGATCACCATAAGTTGGTAAATCTGACGTTAGACAAATTATATCGTGTTTATTGTCATCGTGAGAAGAAAAATTATTGGCAAATCGTGTATTATTTTGATTTGATGAAGTAGGCAAGAAAATATCATAATCTGAAGTGACTGATTTCGGATAAATACTATCTGCCTTCTCCTCTTCATAATTATATCCACCTAAACCAGTATAGAATTTAGAATCTGTGATATTTTGACAAGTCGACGCATTGGTAACATTCATATTCAGTGGTGGTGGTGTTGTTGTTGTTGTTGCTGTTGACGTTGTATACTGGGCCACTGGAATAGAATCGTTGGATTTTGAATTTTCCACATACACTTGGCTATTAGTATTACGACGAAATTTAGCACGTGCATTCTGAAACCATACCTAGAAAATTAATGAATTATTAAGGGCTGTGAAGCACTATTTGTTTTGAAAAAAGGACTATTGAGTTATGTAAATGAAGTAAATTGGAGTAACTTCTTTACATGGCAATAATAACTTTATATTTTGTACATACTGTTCTTTTACATTCCTTGTGAAATATAGGACTTCAAGCTTTGAGCTGTGAAATTTCAGTAGCAGCAGTATCTCTTTTCCCGGGTGAGGATACTAGTCCCATATTCAATCTTCCCTCTTTATTAGGCTAACCATCGGCTAAACGAGGTTTAGGAGTGCATCGGCCGGAGTTCGAACCCTGGGACAGTTGTGTGATAGGCGAAAATGTTACCTTCGAACCACATAATCCTAATAACTCTATAAATGAACCCAATCGACAATCATATTTTACAAAGCTAACTGTTAAACCGGCTCCCTGTGACTTAATGGTCTACGAGCTCGCCTTGTAACCAGAATGTCCTGAGTTAGAACCCCGATGGGTACGTGCTACTAATAAATTGTCAGTAGCCTATGCGTTTGTGAGTCGGTGATACAACGGTAGAGTGCTCGCCAACCACACATGGGGTCCGTGGTTTGATCCCCGGCCGATGCACTCCCAAACTCCCTTAAGCTAGTGATAAGATTGGTAAACAGGGAAGGCTGGGTAAAATTAAAATAAAACCACTGCTACCAAAGCTTCAAAGCTCTAGCTTAAAGCCCTATGTTCCACTGAGAACGTAAAGGAATATAAAACAACTATTAAACCAGTAATCAGATCTACTGCTCAGCTAAACCAGTCATGAGTTAATTTAAAAGCGTTTATGAAGAAAAAACGTCCTTGTGAATTTGCTAAAACCAGAGAATGTTTGTCTAAGAATACGATTAGATATACAGATATAAGCGTTGCAATGAAAATGAAATCAAATTAAATTTGTATTCATAACTCATAAGCTCTACAGACAGTTATAGATAATGGCTAGCAGTGGAATGAACTACATGCGTCTCATCTTATTTATGACTTGTCAGCTGTATTCACACGAGTAATTTCTAGTAGTCTTACTGAGACTTGAACCTAATGTCCGCTAGTTATTCAGTAGAACTTCAGTGATTAGGTTAGTGAGTCTTCATGTTAGAATTAAACATTCACTGATAAAACATATTTCCATCGGAAAGAAACTTCGATTTTGCCTGCAGAATTGCATAATGTTTCAGTTATAGTCACAAATTTTATGATTTGAATATTTTTGAAAAGGATGTATTCCTTTAAATTCAGTTCAAAACTGCCCAAACATTATACACAAGCTATCATAGGTAAGTTGGTTAGAATTTCAATTAATTTTCAAAGATGACTAAATAAATGTGTGCTGTAGACGGTAGGACTGTCCGATATATACATACATCTTAACAATATTAAGCTTTAGGTGTAACTAGTTGTGATCAGCGGTGAAAATTAAACCTGTGGTATAACGAAATTTTAACAAACAACCTATGGATTAATAGCGCAATGCTAAAAGCTGATAGATGCAGCTATTAATCAGGCGTTAATAATCGCAGTATAATGAAGATTCAAGTAGCGATAGGGTCAGATAGATTCTAGCGATGAGCTAATAATCTGAATTCTCATTTCTCCTCCGGTCATTATCATTAACGCGTTTGAAATAAAATACTTATAGTGCATCGAAACTCCTTCTCTTTTGTTAATCCATGAATATGTCAGATAGTTTCACAAAAGATTATAGTGAATGAGCACATCAGTCAAGGTACAGTTTCAGTGACCACGTAGCCAAAATTGCAGTATCTCGGCTGACTTTAAGTGCAATAACCATGCATCATTAAATAAGAATTTTATTGTAGTTTGGAGCACTTTAACAGTGCATATTCATGACCATTTGAGAGATCGAGTCTAGGACTATCGGGTAATCAGTCCACTAAGTTTCAACACAGTGGTCAACTTTCTCCACATTAATGGTGGTATTAAATGGAACTGCATTAGCAAAGTGTTACTGATGCAATGGATGAGAACTGCAGACGATATGACAATCTAGTCTGCAGTAGAATTCGAACCAGCATCCAACGGACTACTAGCCCAGCAACTAACCAGACAAGCAACTTGATCAAGCTGCTAATCAGGTCATCATATGATTATATTCATCATGAGTAATGCTTAAATAGTCCCAATATTAACTCAGACTGATTAAAACTGACAAGAAAAGGCTTAGCTAGGCAGGTAGTCTGGTGATAAATGGACAGCCACGTCTCTTCCATTCACATGGTCGGTGGGCAATAATAGTTCCGATTTCCAATAAGTTATGATCTGAATAACAGCTTACTTCAGTACTGATTTACCGCTAGACTAGTATTCTGGAGGCCTCTGGTTCGAGTTCTGCTGCAAAATGGAACTTTTATATCAGTTACAAAATTTGCGGGATTATGGATTTCCGTATCTAGGTGTCAAGACAAAAGTTTTTCTCATATTTTGAAAAATATGTAAACTTATGCTGTATGAGGGATTTTTAGCCATAATATTATTCGCTGACTTAGTAGAAACTTTTTCAAAGGCGATACATTCAAGGATATACAAAATCTTTCAGACAGAACAGTAACCTGTAATAGTATTATTCAGAAAGCGAAACGCTGTTTAAAACATTTTCAAATACTGAGATAAATCCCAAGATTAGTCGAATAATTATAACTAGCTGCCAAGTGATGATATAATTTTATAAATGAAGCTTATTTTTTAAACATTAAGCTAGGTGACGTAACAATGAGTTATGTTTCCTGGTGTTAGATTTTATAATCAAAACAGCAGAATGCCATGCCACGTTCTGTTTAACAATCATCATTAAAGCCAATCAAGGTAGACATGAATGAAAATCACATCTACCTGGATACCTTGTGACCAATCCGACTTAAATATTGAATGTAATTCTGACATATTAAAGTGATCAATTACAAACTGTGTCTTAGAATGTTAATTCAAAAGAGAAATCGGTTTACCTGTAAAACGCGTTTAGATAGTCCAGTTTTTTGTGATAACTGTTTTAAATCTTTAGAATCTGGATTATGACTAAATTCAAAGTAGGATTTCATTATTCTCAATTGTTGATGCTTAAATGATGTACGTATACGTTTCATTTTTCCTGTATTCTTTTCTAATCTTCCATGCAATTTATCCGTAGACAATAAACGTTCATTGTCCAATTTTTTAGTTGACTTTTGTGCTTTTCCTGATTTAAACTGTTCTAATTTTCCATCTGAATAGTAAGAAGAAAAAAAATTAAGTTGAACATAAAGAAAATTCTTTTTCGGGAAAATGATATACTCAAAGTAATCGCTGTAATTAAAATCGAATTTATCACTGTCAAATATGCAGTAATGAAAGGAAGGGTGAGGGAATTAGATTTCCTAAAATTTAGTTAAACTAAAGGTCTTTATGTAGCCTTTTTGTTTCATAACTTCAAAGAACACTTATCATTTAGATTTATGGTTAAGAAATTTAGACTTGATATCTTTTCACTGTAGGTTTTTGTAGTTACAGACAAACAATAATAGCTTACTTAATTCAATTTGAGGCAAAGTTCAACAATAACATCCCACAAGTGCGAACGCTTCAATGACCTTGAACGCATGCTTGTCGTTGGCCGACAGCACCTGTCATCATCATAGCTGAAATATCAACGCTATTCACCAAATAAGCAGCAAATTTCACTTAGATCACGTTTTTAACTACTGTTTGGACAACGTGTTAATAGCTGGGTTAGAGTTAAAATTAGGGTTAAGGTAAGTATTGGGCTTAGGGTTAGGATCAGGGTCATAATAAGCATTCGAGTTAGGTTTAAGATTAGGATAAGAGTTGTAATTAGGGTTAGGGTCAGGATTAAGTTTAGCGTTACAACTAGGGATAGATTTAGAGTTGATGTCATTTATTTTAATTTGTTTTCTTATCCACATTTTCCTGGTGAGTAGTCGTCGATCCTCTTACTGGATACCATAGTATTTCAACCGAGTTCTTTGAGGAAGACTGCATAACAGAGAGATAAACAATTCACAAAAACAGCTCGTCTTTAGTGACCCCGGTGAATACATGTACAGAAACTATTCTAACTTAGCAACTGATAATCCTCATTATAAGTGGGACGTATTTTTAACTCGCATCAGGGGAAGATACTCTGATTAATATGTTTTCATGCATTTTCTTGTAAAAATACGTCGTTTTTTGTGCAAAAGTCACTTATTTTTATGATTGGTCGGCTGAAGGTCACTAGTGCGTTCGCATTCCTTGGGACGCTATTGTTGAACATTGCCCAATTTTAGATTTTCCCGTTGACTGATTGAACCGAAGTGGGCACTTGGTTCCAGCCTCGGTGGAAACATCATCACTCACTGTGGAATGCAGGTATATCCAGATGACGAGTCCCGGATAGGACGAAATGCGCATCCTGGATTCCACTGCTAGTCACCATCCACCAATTAACTAATAACAGCTTACAGTAGAACTAATCAGAATGTTAAGATTATATATCTGTATAAAGTATTATTGATCTAACACTTTGTACACCGTCTCCTCTAAATTAGTTTAGAGTTTAGCACGTAAATTGGTAGGCTCTTATGCAATATAAATACCAACATATCCTGACTGAGTATCCATGTTTTCAAAACCTAACACTACTGGTAAACTCCAGTTGACCTTTAATACAACCTGTCTTTTGAATCATTTCCATTTGGTCAACTAAAAATATTTTTATGTCTAAAGGATTCCCAATTAATCATATTAAACAGTAATATGTAGTATATAAATCTAACGGTTACAAACTTGAATCCGTCTATAATGTCAAATAGGTTGCCCTCCTCACTGTGAAGAGCCTTTTTGTTTCCAAAGGAAAGTGTAGATGAATATTACCTTCGCCTATTTTAACTGCTCACACTTTTTTTTTTTTTTTTTTTGGATTTACAGCTTGATTTCCACACCGTATTTTCAGTACAAGTGTGGAACTTTCAGCATGGATATCGGTTGCCCAAATTCAGGCATACCATAGATATCGGGTGTGCGCCGGCAGGGGTTCGAACCCCGGACCATGTGCATGGTCGGCGAGAGTCCTAACCACTGTGCCACCGACGCACTTGAATTAATCCTCTGTGTTAGTTATTAACGACAGTTACCATCTAATTTTAATATTCAAAGACTCTTTAATATAAGAGAACGTAATCTGATTCATATAAATGAAAGTTTATTGCTTTATTATATTTCTACTCTAGCACCAGGAATAGTAAATGTCTTTACTCCGACTTCTTTTAATTTTTAAGGAATAAGTCCATTGGAAAGAGTGAAAATTCATTGAAGAAATCTAAGCTTCATAATTCATTATCTATTAATACTGTTTTCCGTATTCTATCTTTGAAAGCCTGTATGTTCAGTTGTTCATTGTTAATGCAAAGAGGTCAGTAGGTTGATTTAAAATTAGCTATTTTATGAAAGATTGGAATTTTTATAAATTACAAATATGATCTGTAAACGGTAATGTATTACTTTGTCAGGTATAAGGTAACATTCAACCGTATTTCATTTACCACTGACTAGTTGACGAGGGGATCGAGAAGACAAGAATACGTTGAACCAATAAGAAGACTCTAGAATATCTGGATTTCACAGATGACTTATGTCTAATGTCGCACAAACTCGAAGACTCACAGGCGAAAACCAAGGAGTTGGTAGGAGAAGCAGTGAAGACAGGACTTCAAATAAACATAGAGAAGACGGAGGTGATGAAGATAAACAACCAAAAACAACAAACGCCAATCAGTATCAACGGGAGAAATTCCAAAGAAGTCACATCCTTCATCTATCCAGGCAGTATCGTTTCATATACAAGCCAAAAAACGGATAAATATGTCAAAGCCAGAATCGGAAAGGCGAGGCAGATCTTCATCAATCTGAAATCATTTAGCAAATCGGCTGCATAAATAACAAGATTTGGGTTTTCAGCAAATGTGTCAAATTAAGCGGAAATAGATCGGACACACACTGAGTAGACCGTGGAATGACATCGCGCTCCAGGCCATCAGTCGTGTACAACGTAAATGGTAAACGACGAGTTTGGCGTGTGTCTGAGAGTGACACAGAAGACGTCGTGTGAGGAGGAGATGAGAGACTATGGGCAATTGTAGGGTCAGCTAAAGAGGCCCGCAAAGAGCAGAACAAAGTGGAGATGGGCTGTTGAATTCCTAAGTTCCCCTCAGAACCCAAGGGAATAATATTACAAAAAATAAATGAAGATTGTTCACTCACTACTTAAACCGTCTTTTTAAAGTAACTAAGTGATTAGAATTAAATTGAATAGCCAAAAAGCGTATTAAATTTACCTTGGATTTCTCTAAAAATGTCATACTCATTCATTGATAACTTACTTTTTAATAAACTTGAGTGTTTCACAGAAATATCGATGAGTACTTGAGATTTCATGTTGTCATTAAAAGACTGTTGTTTATCAATTGAATTGAATTTTCCATTATACTTACTATCATGATTCTCAAAGAAATGAGTTGATATTGGCATTTCTATCTTGTTTAAAATATGATTTTGTTCAACTTGTTTAGATACTCTACTGTTAAAAGAGGATCCATTATCAACCGTAGTAGGGGTATTGTTTTTTGACGTCAGAATAAGTTTAGAATAACCTCCAGAAATACCTGACGGTGGTGATGAAGATGACACAAGACATGTGGACGACAGTGGTGGAGATGAGGATGACGACGAACAAAAAGAGTGTACCGGTGAAGTTAAAGTTGTACCATTCGACGTCCATGTAGAAGAAATATTCAGTAAACAATTTTTACTACTACTACTACTACCGCTACTGCTCCCAGTGATAGTCATGTTGTCAGTAGTAACATTTGACTTCACACCAAATGAATTATTTACAGTATCTATTCTTGGCAGAAAATTTAACATTGTTTCCACATTAAAATTACTTTTATTACTATTATTATTATTATCATCTCTGATAGTTTTTCCAATTACTTCAGTGAAAGCTGAAGGTGTTTGCGGATTTGATATTAAATTATCGGTTAAATAGTTTATATTGGCATTAATGAAATAAAACTGAGAATTTTTGGTATCATTCAACTCTTTTTCATCGCATGGCAGAATTTTATCAGCAATCAGAGGGAATTCAGCAGGACTCTCATTGACTTCTGTTTAATGCAGTGAAAATATAATCAAGAAAAAAAAGACGTAATGGTTAGTATTTATGGATTAAACATGTATATAATCAATTTAAAACCATATCAATTATTACGTGTTATCTAACGTCTAACGTATACTGAAATCAGTACACACACAACTTATTGTTACTTACATTATTATTATTATTTCCTTTAATTCCTAGAGGAACATAGGGCTTCAGCCTCACATATCCATTGCGTTCGGTTCTCTGCTACAGTCTTCACCTGGCTCCAAGTCTGCCCACACGTTTTCATCTCCTCTTCACATCACCTCCTCCAAGTCACCCTTGCATTGACGACCAACTCACCGCTTCCCCTTTGGGTTCCACTCGAGCAATGGCTTGTCTAGTGATGTCACTTGATGGTTTCCTCAGAGTATGGCCAATCCATCTCCATTTCTTCCTGCCTATTTGTTTCACAATCGGTTCCTGGTTGGTAGGCTCCCAGAGATCTGTGTTGCTGATCTTTTCTGGCCATCTGATCTTGAGGATTGAGCAAAGACAACTGTTAATGAAGGTCTGTAGTTTGTTTGAGATGCTCTTTATGACGCGCAATGCAAGTCTCTCATCCGTATAGAAGCACTGACTTCACATTGGAGTTGGAAATCCGGATCTTACTTTTGGTGCTGATTGCTGTTGACCTCCACACAGACTTGAGAGTAGTGAAAGCTTGTCTTGCTTTTCCGATTCTTGCTTTGATATCCTCGTCAGTTCCGTTCGCCTGTATTTGAAACGATACTTCCCAGGTAGGTAAAAGAGGTTGTTTCTTTCAGGTTCCTTCCATTTATACTGATTGTTGTCTGTTGTTGTTGCTGCTGTTGGTGGTGTTGCCCAGGAATCTTCATCAACTCTGTTTTCTCTATGTCCACCTGAAGTCCTATCTTTGATGCTCCTTCTGCCAATTTGTTGCTTTTCGCTTGCATGTCTTCCAGTTTGTGGGAAATCAGACATATATCATCGGCGAAGTACAGATCATCCAAGTTTTTTGTGTGTGTCCATTTTATGACTGTTTCCTCATTGCCCACTGTTTGTCGCATTATCCAGTCTACTGCAATCAGGAAAATTATTGGAGATAGTAGGAAGCCAGCTTGTCTTACTCCTGTCCTCACTTCGAAGGATTCCGTAAGTTTCCCGTTGTGGATCACTTGGCATGCAGCATTGTCGTACAGCTGTTGGATGAGATGTATAATTGTCGGTGGCACCCCGTAGTAGCGAAGTAGTTTCCAAATCACCTCTCGATCGACGCTGTCGAAGGCCTTTTCAAAGTCGATGAAGTTGAGATAGAGAGGTGACTGCCATTCCAAGCTTTGTTCAATGATGATCCGTGACGTGGCGATTTGATCAATGCATGACTTGTTTCTTCTGAATCCAACCTGTTCCGGTCGAAATTTTTCATCCAGGGCTTGTTTGATTCTCTCCAGGATGATGCGGCTTAGTATTTTGCTTGGGATGGACAGGAGCATAATGCCACTCCGATTCTTGCATTGACTCAAGTGTCCTTTCTTTGACAGTGTGAATAGAGGAGTCTTTTTTGTAATCAACAGGTATCTCGCCCTCTTTCCATACCTTCTCCAGTAGTGGTGTCATCAAACCCGCTAATGTCTCTGGATCCATTTTAAATGCTTCTGCTGAGATTCCGTCTGGTCCTGCTGCTTTTCCAGTTCTTAGCGTCTTTATGACCTTTAGGACTGCTTTCGTCGGGGAGTTGGTATCCACTTGTAGTTCTGCCTCCGCTGTTGTTATTCTTAGTCACTTTGTAGATGGCGGTTGATTAAGAAGTCTTTGGAAGTGTTCAGCTCAGTTTTTCCTTTGCTCCACTTCTTTGGTGATTGACTTTCCACTGTCATCCTTCACCGACTTAATTTGTGTCAAACTTTCGCCCGATAGGTACCTAGTTGTTTGGTAGAGTGTTGCGAGGTCTCCTTTGCCTGCAGCTTGTTCTGCTTCATTTGCTTTGGCTTCATAATACTTTCATAATACTCACTTACATTAGAGTTCTTAATCTGGTAAATTACATTGCACATTTTTAACTTTCCTAATAAAATCCACAAAAACACATAGGTATCATTGATGTTACATTACTCAGTGTCTTTAAGAGAGGTAGAATTAATATGCTTGGGATTAGTGCTTAACTTTCTATTTTTTTCAAGACTTCAATTTAAACATGTGAATCCTTCTCATTTGGCTATATTTCATGCAAGTACTTTCAACTATTAGTTTTAAGGATCTACGATAAACTCAGTCAAACCAGTATTCTCCCTCATTAACAGTAATCGTAGCACGAAGTTGTAGAGGCTACGACTATCCCAACGCATTTATATTGTTTTGACTGGACATTAGTTAATAACTAGTATCATGCATCTAGTCCTTTGTATGGTTCAGAATGAATTCTATCAATTAAGTTTTACAGTATGGCCACCACGCTCGACTGCTTGATGTCACAGTGCAATCTGAATTGTTGTTATAAGAAGGTTGCAGTCAGTTGGTGGGAAGCCCTGAACCTAGGTCTCGCACTTGTCAGCACTCGTCAGGAGGCACATGGATTCCTTGAAGTTTGCAGATTCGTCCTGGTGACTGGCGTGTTCTAGCAAGCACGAAATCTAGGTCTAAGGCTTCGTGCAGATCGCCACCAACTATCTAATAACACGTATACTGTTTAAACCTACCGAATTATTTTCACCATAGTAATCTGAATATTGAATTTTTAAAAGGTTGTTAAAACTATTACCCATTTATTATGTTAGGGTAATCTATAAATCGGCCCATGCTTATTGTTACTTGACTCAAACAAATTAAATATATCAGTAGAATTTCCATGAACGGAGACCGTTTTACAGAAATAATAAATTACCACGATTTCCTTCTAAAGCTGTTCTGTAAATGGGATAGAAATGAAGCATCATATTAGTTGTAAACCTTTCCTCCCTAACTCTGCAGTCATCACAAGAAATATTCACGCCACTACTGAGCAAGCGATCGATAAATTTATTTAAATATTTACTAACTAGAATTATGCCGATTTTGGCCATACACTCTTGTGAGCCTAACCGTACCAGGTGAGCATCCGATGGCTTGGGTTTCATCAAGAAAAGCAACCTTTAACTATGCGATACCGAAAATACAGACAATCACAATGTGTTCTCAGTGAGTTTCTATGTAACTCATATTTAATAAATTATCTCAAGTTCTACTATTATAAAGCCAGTCAAACATATTTATGTGCTCACACGTTAATCATATAACGTCGATGCTGTGATTGCTTATTCATTTGGTGAGTCAATAAACTAAATTTACTCGTGGAATGCCATTATATCACGTTGCAACTCCATCTAACAAATTGCTTTTACCACTTCCAAATACTTTGTGACTACTTATTAACACTATCAGTAGGTAGTGGAGATTAAATCAAAAATCCAGGAGAAAGAGATGACGATTACAATTAAAGCATTTTTTCAAGATATTCTTTCAAAACATTAAGTTAAGAGTTTTAAATTTCACACGGATACTAGCTAACCTGATGGAATTTGACCAAGTGTGGTTTTCATCATGTGCTTGTCATAAGTATCACATAACTGCACAATAGGATAATTTCCCTGTGGCGCTTCAGTAATGCATGTTGAATTAAAATCTATAGCATCTTCGTCAAACGACATGGGGACACATTTCTGATGTTCATATTCATCGGACGGTTTCATCATTCCACTAAATAAATTAGTTTTCATCTCTGTTGTTCTTTCAAGATTGACATTACCACTTCCTGTATTCAGTTCATCTAATCCTTTTGAAGTAAATATTTCTGATAACTTTGTGTTTGTGCTTGGTGTAATCTGTGATTGAGAGTTAGATGAATAAGAATATGCATAATTGGCTGCAGTAAACAGATCAGATAGAGAAGATGCTAAGATTTTGGTCATAATATATGACTGTTTATTTGCAGTCACACTGTCGTGCAGTGAACACTGAATAGTTTTGCCATCCATAATATACGTATCACCACATTTTAACAGGCGTCCACATGTATAACAATTGAAGCATGATTCATGGTATAATGTATCTGCATCAACTTGGAAAATTAAATCATTTTTCTGCAATTTTTCACCACATCGAAAGCATGAAGACAGCCTAAAATTTAGAAAAGAAATGGACAGACATCATTCCACCTTCTATGATAATCGCCTTAAAAATAAATGAAAACACAAAACCACCTCACCTTATTAACTAAATTTGTAGTTTTATTTAGTACAGTCTATCTTGCATATTTTCCTAACCATGAAATTAGTGGGAATTACCCCACGATGAGGATGATATGTGAGAGGAATGAAACACAACTAAAGAAAAAAGATTTTCACCTAAGTGATAAACCATATTTTCTCAACAAGTGAGATTGGCCAAAAGCACCAGAGTTGAATATATAAACAAATATAAATGATAAGTTAATCTGTTGTTGATTTCCATTCACCTGAAAAGTAAGATTAAAAATCTGGGTAGAAATCAAATCTCATCTACTGGAAAGAAAAAATGAAGGTATCATTGACTTTAGATGTATTTTCAGTCGTTAGTATACTCCCTTTACTCTAAACTTCATTTTTGTGTGACCAATGAATGAAAGTTTTTTACTGAAAATGATAATACAGGGTCTATTCTCACTTCCTCAAAACAATATTACTACAGGTTTTGTTATTTTGTAATTTTGTGATTCAGTACAGTATCCTTATTAATTTATAATAATTATTATTATTCCCTTGGGTTCTGAGTAGAACATGGGGCTTCAACAATACATCTCCACTTTCTTCTATTTTCCCCTTTGCTCTTCAGCTGGGTCCACCATTGCCCACGGTTTCTCATCTCCTCCTCGCCACACGATCTCTTCCATATCACTCTCCTACCGACGACCCATTCGTTTCTTCCCACTGGGATTCCACTCGAACAATGGTCTGGTGCGTGATGTCATTCGACGGTCTCCTCAGCATACGCCTGATCCTACATATTTGTTGAGCCATCGGCTCTTGGTTAGTTTGCTTCCATAGTTTCTTGTTGCTAATTCTTTCTGGTCATTTGACCTTCAGTATGGAGCTAGCGAAGGCAGCTGTTGATAAAACTCTGCAGTAGCCTGTTGGAAATCCTTTTCGTGACACTCACTGCAAGTCTCAGACCCGTATTGAACCGATTCCACATTTGTGCTGAAAAGCCGAATTTTGTTCTTAATGGTGAGGCGGGGTGCAGAAGATTTCCAAACCGATATCAGAGTGATGAAGGTGTATCTTGACTTTCCGATTCTGGCCATTTTTTGACTCTTCATCCGTTCCGACTGCCTGTGGTTGAAACCGTGCTTCGTGACCAGATAAGTGAAGGAGGTAACCTCCGTTAAATCTCTCGTGTTGATGGTGATGGGTGCTGGCTGTTGTCGCTGTTTTTGGTCGGCTGGTTGGTTATTTTCTTGACCTCTGTCTTCTCTATGTTCACCTGGCGTCCTGTCCTCACTGCCAGCCTCTTCAGCCAGTCTGTTGGTTTTCGCCTGCAAGTCTTTGAATTTGTGTGACGTTAGACATATATTATATGCGACATCCAGATCTTCTAGAGTCTCCCTATCGGTGGTCCGGCGAATTTCTGTCTGACGCATAATCCAGTCCACCACAGTTAAGAATATCATTGTGGGTGATAATAGACAGCCCATATTAATTTGGTTTATTTTGTTAAAAATGACATGTTAGCAGGTGTTTCAGCCTCCACCTAGAAACACTTTTCACAGCTAGTACTAATGCTGATGAATTTTAGTCAAGATTCTTTGACTTGAAGTCTGCTGGCTATTCTCAGTAGCTAAGTGATTTGTGAATGAACCAATTATCTTAGTGAACAGACGAAGATTTGCCATCTGATATTTACAATTTTCCTCATAGATCTATCGATAGTCTTTTGACTTGATTTTAGGCGGTAAGAAGTAGTTAATAGTAAGCCCCGGATTTTGATTTCGCTATTTGCTGAATTTCAACTTCAAAGAACCGCAGCTTCCTTGAATCCTTGCCACCCGAGTGCTGCAGTCAGAGACGTTGCCATTGAGTCACTCAGTGTCTCGATTAATTTCTTCTAGGATTGCAAATGGATACACTGATTAGTCACTGGAGAGTGACCTATATCGTCTATCTCATTCTTGATGTTATTTTCCGACTTCATTGTCACTTCTGTTGAAACGTTTTCTTTTGTCCCTGGGCAAAGTTAAACTTTAAGCACTACTACCTTAAACGCACCAATCACGCGAAGGAGGCATTTTTGGTTATAAAATACATGTATTTATGAAAAAAATGTATGAAAACTCTATACTCTACTACAGTGCACAAGTAATATTCTTATATCAACAGAGTAATTCAACCACATTCTATGCATGTAATTATTTAGGTCTTCTAACCCTAACAATAACCCTAATCTTTCCTAAACCTGACACTAACGTGAAAATATCTCTAAACTAACTGTAATATAACTCAAACCAACCCTATTGTCGCCTTTATTAGGTTAACCTAACTCTAACTAGTCTTTGGCTTAAACCGTAACTTAATCTTTCTCAAACCTAAGCTGAAACTTGCCAGATATCCCATTTAATAACATAAAAACTTCGACTAGCATATTTTATTGATGATGATAACATTGTTTGCCAGGTTTCACTAACTTGCTCAGTGAGCATTTCAAGGTCTCTGGTGCTGTCACACTCCATTGGTAGTTAGTGGTGCTTAAAGTTTAACTTGACCTATCTCTGTTCTTAAGGAGTGGTTATTCACATAGACTGATACATCCTGGTGTTTCATTAAGATACAATAGTTAAGTAAGAGTTGATAAATGCTGATAGATAATTTACTAAGTCATTTCTATCCTTAGTTTGTATGACTGATTTCGCAGATGAATTTAATATCTTTCTTGGTTAACTGCTGCAGAATGCTACCATGTCCGTTTCAGAAATTATCTTTATCCTGAGCCTCCAATTTCTGGAAAACTGCTAAAAAAATGTATTCCTCTTATAGTTAGGAGTTCCTGGCGATACATACAGATGCTTCTATTTAGCTGTGAAATCTCAGTACCTGGGAGTACTTATTTAGATGTATCCTTATCAATAGACACAAAAGGTATTTTAATTAAAGTTGACCTAATAACTGAAAATATAAAGCGAAAATTGAAAAAGAATACCTTTACATTAAAATTAAACGTCTGTTCATGTTAACTGACTACAATGTTATACATAAAACTATTCACATAACAATTTAGGTCACTCGTTTCATTATGGTCGCAACTCTAACTTCTGCTTCAAGCACAGATTTTCTTGTAAACACATGGAGTCGTTATACTTTTGTTAAGAATCTCTTTGAAAAATAAACTGAAAAAGTTAAACGACTGAGGATATATATAAATATAGGGAGGGAGGGCAAAGTAACAGGACTGAAATATCTCCGTCACAATGTTTTCGGTTATTGGCCATCATAGTCATCATGAATTCGAAGGATGTTACAAACTATGTTGTTAAGGTGTCGTCTGAATTAAAGATAAAGTGATACTTTTGAAAAAAAGGAATTTTAACAGTTTCCAAAATAATACGAATCTAAACTACTACTTGATTATTGGTGGTCATTTGGAATTTGTTGAAGAAGCTAAGTTAGGACGATGAAGTATAGTATCGTTTAACTGATTATAAAGTCAATGACTAATATAAAAACTCGTTCCATCACCATAAACATAGGGCTTAGAAACAAATTTTTAAGAAACCATAAATATGTGTTAAACATATATCACTGAGAAAGTTTAAAATGAATATTCAAAAGAACTTCCAACAAGATGATCTACGCCTTCAGTTGTTTATACTGAAATACGGATACAGTTGATACTAGCTTGATTAGTAAATGGCTTCTTCTTAAATGTTCATTTCCTTTACTAAATTAAAACACGAAGTGCAAAAGTTGCCATCCACTTTGGCTTCATTAATTAATTTCATGCATAACTAATGTGAAGTCATTACTTCTATATGATTCATAGACGTAGAGTATCAAGAGATTAGAATTTCCAAGGGTTTTCATCAGAAGAAATCTGTCTTCTCTTGATACTGAAGATGAAATACTCAGAAAGGAGGAACAACATGGAACTCTGGAAGTCAACGAAGCAGTCAACAACCTACTGGATTGGACATACGATGAGAAGTACTGACTGGTATTGCATATCATTTAACCTCTTGGATGGAACTCAAAACGGGGATTGACTAGTTGAACTTTATAGGGTGACATTGAGGAGATCATATGAACAGAAAATAAAAGCGTTGTGGTCAGTCATAACACCAAGTGAAAAAGACTGAACAGAACAAAGTGAAATGGCGGTGTGCATTTGAAGCCCAGTAATCTGCCTGGAACTAATAAGAATAGTAAAAATAATAATTGTGGAAATTTTCAAAAACTGGACGATAGGATGATTTTAATTACTGTTAGTCATCACAGCATGTTCTGCTTTGTTATTAGAGCTGCATAACAGGAAATAAATATAAGTCAGTTTACGAAAGCAGAGAGAATAGAATCAGTATTTGTTATTTAAATGACTATTTGTACGAACTGTTAGTTCGCCCTTATTTTTTATCTCTTCTCCTCTGCATATCACTCTACGAACATCCAGTTTACTATATTAAAGACAATAACTTAGGGACAGTGTTTAAATGAAATGTGAACTACCCAGTGATAAAATTTTAACAAGTTAACATTTAATAGGTTTTTTTTCTCCCTAAAACTTCTTTGTAAAATAAAAATTCGAGTTAAAAAGTTAAAATGGGAGGTAGGCGTATCAAGTTACATCAACTCATTTTATTATTACAATAGTAAATTTGATCAGACTGGATTTTTTTTGGATTAACTTTTCATTGAAAAGAAGCGGATTTGTGTGATGGACATACTGTGTTGTATGTTTGACCCTAAAAATGATAAATTTTGTATTTTTCATTGCTTTTTCTAATGTGTTAATGAGCAGTTGAACTGCTGTCCCTTTGTAATGAAAGCCGTTTTCAGATGACTTGATATTTGATGCAATTATCGTACAAAATAATGAATTAACAGCAGCCCACATCCTTCACTTTTTGTTCTCCCTAGTGGTAGTGGATGTAGTAG